TCATTGACTGGCAGCCATTTTCAGAACAGAGAGTCCCATACTGCCAGTTTTTTGAGCATTTTGACTGATTTGTCAAGAGCCACAGAATAGTTTGTGCTATGACTATGTAAACACCGAACACACCAAAAGAAAGAGTAGACTCTCTTCTTTTACCAGGAAAAGTAATTTGTTTCTACCTTATTCCGTTCTTCCTGGACTTGCGTCTCACCGGCGACATGTTCTCTCATAGAACCGTTACCTTTTTCTTATTTGCCTACAGTCTATGCTCATCTCCCATCAAAAGTGGCACTGCCCCCTAGAGGGTCAATTTGTTACTACATACTCTGTCTAGAAGCCGATATTTACAGACAAGCTTTAGCAGATCGTCCCCCAGACACTCGCGTTGAAAAACATAAAAGACGTCTATAGACGTCTTTGGCAGCCAATGAGTTAAGCTGATTTATCTGTAGTGGCAGTATTCTTTTTTTATGTTTCCAGGAAGCTGTTGGCAGTAGTGCCACTCCAGATGCTAACAGTACTATAGCACAAACCCATCTGCTCACGTCTTAAAGGAGCAACTACAGGCTCCTCCAGGTGGAATCCACATCATAGATGTTTTAATGAGGCCTGCCTCAAGACTGTGTTTTTGTTCGGTCTATTCAAATATCAAGCTTTACCTATAGATAAGAATCCTTCTCTGCCTGCCATTCCAGCCTAGAGATGCCTAAAAGAGCCATACAACCAGAAAGAACAGCGTAGTTTTTCCTTCCCTCTGTCGCCTAGTGCTTGCTGCTTTTGGTGAGAATTGTTGGGCCTCTGTAAATAACTTCAGAGTCCGGTGTGACTTGCTCTATAAAGGAGTGACTACAGGCTCCTCCAGGTGGAATCCACATTATAGCCGGATGTTTTAATGAGGCCTGCCTCAAGACTGTATTCCCCCAAATTTTTGTTCGGTCTATTCAAATATTAAGCCTAACTATAGATAAGAATCTTTCTCTGCTCGTCATCCCAGCCTAGATAGGCCTAAAAGAGCCATACAACCAGAATGAACTGCACAGTTTTTCCTTCCCTGTGTCGCCTAGTGCTGCTCTTGATGGGAATTGTTGGACTTCTGTAGATAACTTCAGACCTGTGACCTGCTCTATAAAGGAGTGACTACAGGCTCCTCCAGGTGGAATCCACATCATAGCCGGATGTTTTAATGAGGCCTGCCTCAAGTTTGTATTCCCCCAAATTTTTGTTCGGCCTATTCAAACATCAAGCATAACTATAGATAAGACTCTTTCTCTGCTCGCCATTCCAGCTTAGAGAAGCCTAAAAGAGCCATATTGAGCCAGCTTTTTTCACTTCTGATCCCGATCCCGGCCTATCAGAGCATGTGTTAAAGTTTAAAGTTATTTATCTACTTACTTAGTTGTCAGACTCATGTTGAACAGGGATTTACTCTGATAACAACTTAATGGTTAGGACACAGACCTGTGGGTTACAGATGCTAATGCTAATGCTAATGCTTGTGTGCCTACTCCACAAACTCCCCGGTAGCTACTTCTAGATGCTCTTTATAGATGATCTGCTGCTGTTTTTTAGCCTGCTCCCAGAGAGTAAAGCTGCTCTCGTCCCTCATTGTTGGCGCAATATCTCCCAGCTCCACCCAGCCCGGCAACAGAAAACAGAAAACATGCTGGTGACACAACACTGAGAAGTCCAGATCCACCATTACACAACCGGTCTGTAGGCAGAAAACACCCAAGTGTGAAGGACGAAGCTGCTGTGTGGCCAGTAGCTATACCCCAGAAGTTATAATTTTAAAAAAAGTAGAGGGCAGGTCCCAGATCCAGATGTCTTTACCTCCCTACCTGTAGCATTTCCAGTGTTAGCATAACTTTAAGGCTTCACTTCTGTCTTGAAAGTGGTTCAAATCATTTCTTGATATTGTTCATTTTATGACAATTGTATTTATTGAGTATCATTTCTCTTAACCCTTTAAAGCCTGATCCAAGAATAAAACAAAACAGAAAATTACTTTTTTTTTGTTTGAAGTCTTTATTTGGCCTTTT